GACAACTTCAGATATTATACTATTCTCAACAAAGAACCATATAAGGTGCCCTATGTGAGTGCAGCGTTCTTCCAAATGAAGCAGAGAGTGTTTGAGGACCGGGACATCTGTAGGGATACCAAGGTGCTTGTTTATAAAATTATTGTCCTCCCAACCCTGCTATATGCCTGCGAAACCTGCACTATCTACAGATGTCATGTGCAACTCCTGGAACGATTCCATCAGCATTGCCTCCGAAAAATCCTGAAAATCTCTTGGGAAGAAAAGTGGACAAATGTCAGCATGCTGGAAGAAGCAAAAACCACCTACATTGAAGCAATGGTCCTCCGCTATCAACTCCACTGGACCGGCCACGTTATCCAAATGCCCGACCACCGTCTCCCAAAGCAGCTACTCTACTCCGAACTCAAGAATGGGAAATTGAATGTTTGAGGACAGGAAAAGAGATTCAAAGATGGGCTCAAAGCCAACCTCAAAAACTGTGGCATAGACACCGAGAACTGGAAAGCCCTGGTCCTTGAGCGCTCTAGCTGGAGGTCAGCTGTGACCAGTAGTGCTGTAGAATTTGAAGAGGCACGAATGGAGGGCAAAAGAGAGAAATGTGCCAAGAAGAAGACGTGTCAAGCCAACCCTGACCGGGAACCCCTTCCACCTGGAAACCCTCACTGCAGGAGAACATGCAGGTCAAGAATAGGGCTCCACAGCCACCTACGTATCCACCACTAAGACACATCACTTGGAGGACTATCATCCTTGGACTATGAGAGATCGCCTAAGTAAGTAACCCTTACGAGATGATCTTGGATAGGTAATGACTGAAGGTATGAAACATACTAGGTGTTGCAATCCAGAGCAGGGAACGAGGCCCTAAGATAACTATCCACCACACTTGGCTGTGAAAAACAATCCTTTTTTATTGAAGAAAAATGGTTACAAAATAAAGGAAAAATGCAAGTCAAAAGCCACAGCAAAATCAGCAAACATGAATTTAAATGGACAAAGCAAAACCAAAAGTCTCACTGTGAAATACTGGAACCTGTTAGCAATCCACTAACCGTACTTGATATCCTAGAAATCTTCCCAAACTATGGCCAGGGAACCGGGAGAACTGCCAAGGTCTTCATCAATTCTGAAACGATGCCTGAACTGAGACAGTCAGCCCGGCGTAAGGCAATTAAAATTCAAGAATTGGTTCCGTGAACCGCCCTTCTTTTTTGAAGCCAATGTTTTTAATTCTTGAATTCGGGAGGATCGACGCAAACTGAGTGATTTACTTCTGTCTTCCCAAATTTGGCCCCTTCTGTTGTCATTACAGTTAACAGGTGCAGAAGGGAGGGAAAGTTCAAGGTCTCCCTCTGAAACATTCTCATGAACACTGGTACTTTCATTTTCCAAATCTACAGAAGTTCCTTCCTCACTAATTTCAGGAACATTGGCATTTTCCAAACCTACAGCAGTTTCTTCCTCACTAATTTCAGGAGCATTGGCATCAAGAGGTACATTTCCACTAGCATCAGTAAATACTTTCATTAGCATCAGGAGGAACAAACAGAGAATCAGGTTCAAGTTCAAACTCAGGCTGAACCCCAACAGGTACTTCACCAGAATCCTATGGATTACTGTGAGTGGTTCATTTCAACAGGGTTCATTACTATCTAGGCTTCCATGCTTTCACAGTAAGTCCAGGAACTTATCCTCAATGGATATAGGATCATACTAAGTTTGCTCATTTAGGATTCGAAAAAGATAATCTTAACCAAAATTGAGTGTTACAGATGAATGAGCACAATGACAGAAAACAGCTCACACCAGCTATTCCAGCTGTGCACCACCCAGACTTTATGTGAGTGGCTAGGGAATTTCTAGAGAGAGACCACCAAAAGTAATGAGGAACTATAGTGGGTTCTCACTACCTTATTTCTGTTGGTGCCAAAATAACCAATTGGAAATTGGCTAAAAGCCACACAATCCAGAGAAAGATATCTACTTAAGTAAAACTCCGGTTAGCTGCTAGTAACATTAGCTGCTAGCAACATTGCAAGTATGTATTTTCGAGAAGACACGTACTGGCATTATGTCACAGACCTTCACTACAGTTGTACACAGCCACACAATGTGTTTTTCTAGGATCTGATTCATTTGATACTAATGCTGAGATGTTTCCTACATTGCTAAGGGAAAAAAATATTTACTGTTTCGTTTTTTTGGAAGCAACTTCAAATTTGTCAGCTTTTTATGTTACTTGTATTTTTGTTCAGGAAAGAGTGGGAATTGGCTTGAAATGACTGGAATGTTATTCTTTTCTCCTTGCTTTCTGCCTAAACATAGTGTCAGCCTTGAGAGCAAATAGATGCTTTGATTGTTGCCATGGTGGACTGAATAACTCATGTTGTCGTTAATTGTATTTTGACTTAGGAGGCAGGATAGTGCTAAAACTCAAAATTCTTTTGCTCATTATCGTACAGGCTTTATAGAGAGAACCTATGTGTCAAATAAATGAGGCATAGCAGTGAGTGCATGGATTGAGACTTTGGAGGTTTGTGAAAACTCACAGGGTGACTGTGAGCCAGTTGTTCACTCTACCTTTCCCCATGTGGTTGTTATGAAGAGTGGAGCCACATATGAAGCCTTAACCTCGCTTGAACCTAAATTGTGTTTATCATACTTTACTAATATCATGAGATGACAAGACTCGCTAGAAAAGATTATAATACTTGGAATTGAATAAATTGTAGTTAGTAAGTTTGTAGGAAAAGAGGAAGAGCATATTCCAGATGAATAGACTGAATAAAGGAAGTCATGGCTCTGAGTTTGCAAGACCTAAACAGTGTAATAGATGATGGAAAGACTTGGAGGTCCCTCATTCGTAGGGATGCCATATGTTGGGGTTGACCTGGTGACAGTTTACACACACAATAAAGCAGAAAAAGAAATGTAGCAGATTAAAGATAATAGCCATAGTTCACTGGATTGCTTTATGTAGCTTGGTCGTTGACCAACGAGACAGACTAGCCTCTGTTGGTCTTGAGGACTGCAGAGTTGCCCTGTCTCTCTCCAAAAAGTCTGCCAGAAAAGTCAAGCAGCACTGGGACAGATCCCCTCTCCAGATTTACTTTGCAGTTCTAGTTCTTGGGCTCCATTAATTTCCCCTTAAGGCCCCTTCTACACTGCCCTTTATTCCAGATTACCGAAGCAGATAATCCACATTATCTGTTTTGAACTGGATTATATGAGTCTACATTGGCATATAACCCAGGTCAAAGAAGATTTAATATGGCAGTGTAGAAGGGGCCTAAGACTCCTCCTTGAATCTGGTTTTGTGGCCTCAAGATATTTAGTGATGAATTCAGATTGGTGGGGCATGAACAATTGCCCTGCTTCATTGCTAAATGCATGCAAATCCAGATGGAGATGTAGAAAATAAAATGGAAAAGCTGTACTATATTATAAGCAAGTTACATTTTTATCCATGGTTAGCGTAATAATTTTCTCTGTTCTACACAGTCTTGTCTCTAGCTGCCCCTCCCAAGGTTTAATGCATTCCTATCTGCCCTCTGCTTTTTCAAAGTGGCTAAAGCAGTGGTTCTTAACCTGTGAGTCCCCAGATGTTTTGGCCTTCAACTTCCAGAAATCCTAACAGCTGGTAAACTGGCTGGGATTTCTGAGAGATTTCTGAGAGGGACTCACAAGTTGAGAACCAAAGGCCTAAAGGAACCAAAGTCGTATGAGGATGCTGCCCTGGCTCTATTTGCATGGCAAGTGTGTGTGTGCACACAGAGTTTAGTCATTTGTAGTGTTTGTATTTCTGGATGTATGCACACATGTGAATAAATAGGCTGAATATGCCCATATTAGTCACTGGCCCTTTCTTTCTCCGGAGTCTACTGAGCTGGCCAAAACATTACCCTCAACTCATTTTCAAAAAGTTATCCAGCTAAAATTCAGCTAAAACTGCATCTGGTGTAAATGCATAGTACTGTATTATCATATCACCAATGTAAATTTACTGAGAAGAAGGCAAGCTCTTTGGCCAGTTGGTACATTGCAGAATCCTTCATGGTCATGAAGAAAACCATGAAAATGTGTGAATTGTGGTTGACAAAGAGTTGAGGAATGTTTTGAATGGTACTCAAATTGATGGTCATGGGCTGAGCTGCCAGATTCAGGAGAAAAAAAAACAATGCTGTCCCTGGGCCTAAATATAGTGCCTGTCCCTGGCACATGGGATGAAATGCAATCGGCCAATCTTTCTCATCAGATAATTTGAGAAGCGCGGATATAGTGCACTTCCTGTGGCCAGAGGAGAGGACCATAGTCTGCATAATTTGCTCTTCGGGAGCTACTGATTCCTGTTTCCTACACTCTATTTTTCCGATTTGTATTATTCTTGCCTTTATCAATCTGTTTGAAGCATTCCAAATAATATGAAGCCTCAAATCCTGGCATCAATAAATGCATGCACTCGATCAAATGTTCAGAAGGGGGCTATTTTCCATCACATCACCTTGGAATTGGAGGGCAACAGAATTACAGTTAGTCTCAGATGAAGTTGGAGAGTTATCATTCTTGTCAGGACATTGCACTTTCTTTCTTTTTGCTCTTCCATGTGTGTGTATTTCTTTGTATATGCTTCCCATGCACAACCCACTCCTGCCCCATTTTCCTGGAATAAACTCATCTCGGTGGCATCATCAAGGCAAATAACCCAATCTAAACTTCTCCCTGACACATGTTAGTTAGAAAACAGATCCCTCATAGCTTATTTGAAAGGTTAATTTTAGCAGTGCCTGCCAGGCATGTTCCTCCTAGCTTCTAAGACCCCTTCCACACAGCTGCATAAAATCCCATATTATTTGCTTTGAACTGGGGGTGTGGACTCATATAACCCAGTTCATAGGAGATATTGTGGGATTTTCTGCCTTGATATTCTGGGTTTTATGGTTGTGTGGAAGGGCCCTCAGTCAGTATTTTTTTAATTTTATACTAGCAGACTCTCTTACCTCCTTCTGTGCTTGTAGGTCATTTGAAGGAAGGAAGCAATGGACCTGCCTTTTAGAGACCTCCTTATACGTCCCTTGCTGAACTTCAACCGCTTTGTTTGTCAGAACTCCATTGCCAGTTGATGAAAGATATCTCCTCGTTTTTAAAGGTGTCAGAGTTTGATAAAAAAGGCAGGCACCCAATACAAGCACCACCAGGAATGGGCGAAGCCGACACCATCTCCTTCCAGGCAAGATTTGCCGGCAAAACATGGCCACCATAAGTTTCTAATTTCGTCCCATTTCCTCATTGTAAGGGTAGTCCGTGCAGCTACTTGTCTTCAGCATGAAATAAAGAATAAAGTGTGTTTTTTTCCAGAGATCATTCAAATCATCTCCATGGTTTCTGGACCTAAGTTCTTCCATGGCAAAAAGTCACAGGTCTCTGGGATGAACAGTTCTTCCAGAAGCAGTGTCCAGCCTGTACAAAACAGAATGGGTGGAAGAGTGAAAGAAGTGACGTGGATTGTGAACAGACAGAATTAAGCATTCTGCAGTGTTGGTCAGAGAAATCTTATCATCTGGAAAAGTAAAAATTAAACTTACCCATACTATAGGTTTCAAAATGAAAGCTATAGGTTAAAAATTATCATGTGCTGTGCACACAGTTGAACACTGTCAAGGATTTCTTCCCCGTCTTGTGAGTCGAATTCACGTTCTGATTTATTTAAATACACCATTTCCTTCATTCCAGATTTTTTAAATTGCCTTTTTCCTGTCAGCAAGCCTTCCCAGCCATTCCTCACTGAAAATGCAAGCTCAGACTTTAAAAGCTTAAAAGCTAGTTTTCTTTCCCCCTCTCTGTCTCTTTCTCTCTCCAACTTTTTGAGTTCAAAGTTATGTTTACTTACTCCGTTCCTCGCCCTGTCAAATGTTTTCCATCCTCTCCTGAAGAGGGGCTGATTAAAAACACTTGGAGCAGCCCAGCCTCATGACTCCGGCTCATCTTTGCACACGCACACAGCACTCCATCTGAACTCAGTTGGACCACAGACATACAAATAAAAAGCAGGACAGCCCGGAGGGGTGGGGTTAAGTTTACCAAGTTCTGAAAAGGCTCACAGGCTGGAAGCTGGGCTGGATCACAGAAACAATGTCCTTTCCCCTTCCCATGCTCTACTCTTCCAAACTACACAGGAACTAAATATGGGATCGGGTTACAGAGAACTCAAACATAGGTCTGCAACTGCAAACCTAATGCAGAATTAAACTAGGAAACAAAATTACTCTGCACTTAAAAAAAACCACTTCAAGCACGTCTCAGATTGTGTGCCGGACATAGCAATGTGGTATGAGAAATACATAGGCTCATTTGAAGGCTGTTTTCGATTTAGAACACCCACCTGTTAAGGAGGAAGACTATAATCCTATAAATCCACGTACTTCTCTTACTAAAGGCTTATTTGCTTCTTAAGTAAGGTTGGAAAAGGGTGCATCTACACTGTACAATTAATTCAGTTTGGTACCCTTTAACTCCTATGGCTCAATGCTATCAAAGAATGTGAGTTGTAGTTTGGTGAGGCACCAACACTCTTTAGCAGAGAAGGTTAAAGATTTATAAAACTGCAGCTTATTGGATTCCATAGCATTGAGTCATGGCAGTGAAAGTGGTGTCAAACTGCATCACTTCTACAGTGTAGATCCTTGTGTATATCCTAGACTGCAACTCCTTGAGTCTTTTAGGTAACACAGGAATCTATCTACAGAGGCACTGAAATATTGTTGTTCCTGTGTTTGCTGTGCTGAAGAGTGCCCCAGTAATGGCCCTTGAGATTCTTACAAGAAATCTTTCGGTGAAGAATGATATATGGCAACTTTCGTGAGCAGTTGTCTTTTTCACCAAGAAGGCAGATACAAGAGAAATGAGAAGTGAATGTGTAAATTGAGCAAATCAGATCTTGGTAATCATTTGAATGACCTCATAGCACTCTTTACAAATGAAGTTTTAAGTCACTGCAAAACTAGACATTAATGAAAAATGCCATTTTTAGGCACAGAATTCTTATGGGGGGCAATAACCACCCCCAATAGTTATACACTTGCAATTTGAAAAACACTGTATTGGTATTACAAAATTGCCCGATTTTGGTTCCTCCAGAAGTATTTCCTCATGGAAGTGTTTGTGGGCCTGTGTAGATTCTCCAAGGTTATAGTCAAAAAGGATACAGGAGTTGTGCTGTATTACGAGGATTATCCAGAAAGTAGGGTTACAGGGCATGTAGCTCTCGTAGGAATTTTTTGCAGGGGAAGTTGGTATCACTGCTGTGTAGTGGGAAGCCAGCCGAAGCGAACTAACAGTGCCAGTCATCAGTAGCTCATCGACTGGTGTTGTGGTGAAGGTTAGAGATGAGTGTCTTCATTCTGTTTCCCTCCAAGGGTGAAGTTGTAATAGGCTATAGTTGCTAAATGCTAAGGGCATGAACGCTCCTGCGATTCATTGCGAAATCGTTTCAGTTTATGGAGAGGACGTAATGTCAAGAAAGTGTGTGACAAAATGGGTATGGAATATAATGTGAGACCATGAAGAAACTTCACAGAGCCATCCAAAACAAATGTTGTGGGATGCTGATGGTGGGAGTCTGTCTTCTTCATGACAATGCACATCCGCACACTGCTCATGCAACCCAAGAGTTGCTGACTTCATTTGGACGAGATGTTTAAGCCACCCCTCTGACAGCCCCGATCGCATACCCAGTGATTGTCATCTGTTCACTAAATTGAAAGAACATCTCAGTGAAAAACACTTTTCCAATGACAACGAGGTGAAAATCAAAGAAACGAACTGGCTGAAATAGGTGGAGGGAAACTCCTATGACACAGGCATCAAAAACTCATCTCATGGATGACAAAATGTATTGAATTGAATGATGATTATGTGGAAAAATAATATCATACCTATGCTACAATCCATGCAAGTTTTATTAAAATATATTCATTCTCAGTATTTTAAAAAAATCTTGTATACTTATTTTCCGGATAACCCTCGTATTAAATGCTTAATTTTAAAAATGACCAATGGTCCTAGGTTGCTTGCCTTTAATTACTGGAAAATGCTAGGTCTGGAATGGTATAAGGAAGTGCTACTCAAACTAGTTGTCCATGGACTGGTGCTGCACCATGAGACATTGGCTGTTAGTGCATGGTATCTTTGCTGATATGATAATAATATGGAACAGATATTGTATTTTATCCATGGCATATTGAAAACACAATTAGATTGAAGTCACCTCATGCATTACAAGGTTTATTTTTTTTTTAAAAAAAGGTTGTTACATTAGCTGGTAAAAATTGTGTCTTTAGCTTTTTTAACCAAAATAAATAAAGGCAACCAGTTTTGTGGCAGTAAGTTGTAAGATTCTACATTTAACATCTTTCCTTTTTCACGTGAAAGTATTTGAACACTTAAAATACTTTCCTTCTGAAGCAAAAATTAATTAAGGAAAGAGGGAACAATGCAGAATATTTAAAACATAATCACAATAAATAGAAGATAATCTGGGAGATAATCTAAGAAACAGGTAGGTTTTTTTAAAAAAAGCACATGAATATTTGCATGGCTACTGCAAAAAAGAAAGAAAGAAAGAAGTTAGGATTTTTAAAAAGCTCTACAGTAGAGTCTCGCTTATCCAACATAAATGGGCCAGCAGAACGTTGGATAAGCAAAAATCTTGGATAATAAGGAGGGATTAAGGAAAGGCCTATTAAACATCAAATTACGTTATGATTTTACAAATTAAGCACCAAAACATCATGTTATGTAGTAATTATTGTATTTACGAATTTAGCACCCAAACAGACAAGGGCTCTTTCTTTCTCCCACCCTGGACATTATTCCAGGTGGGAGGAAGACTGTGTTGGATAATAGAGAACACTGGATGAGCGAAGGTTGGATAAGCGAGACTGTACTGTATTTGAATATAGCCAGATCATGTGCTGAAAATTCATTTGGGCATATTACAATGCTTTTGCATTACTTAACACAAATCTTTACACAAAAAGGATTGTGGTGCCCAATATATTTGAATCATATATTTATTACTGGGCAAGTTCCAATTAAAAAAATGAGAGTAAATACATATCAAGGCCTCAGTTCATAAGCTTACATGTCATATTTATTGACAAGGAAATATTTTGAAACAAACATTGTGGAAGGATTGTTGTTTTCTGTTCAGATTCAGTGTGTGTTTGCAATTCAAATGTTTCTTCATCCCAATTGTACTAATAAGGCTGGACAACATCTTTCTCTGAATGTTTAAATTGGCTTCAAGTTAAAGCTATAAATAACACTGCCGAAAGCTAATGTTAATGCAGCTGGAAATCTGTATGCAACATTACTAAATACAAAATGTTTTCCAACCAGAACACTTTGTTCCACAGGAAAAAGATGCATCTTTAGAAATCAAATCGGATTAGCCTTGACTTTAGACCTTTTTCCATATATGAACACTCTTTGTTTAAATAGCATTTTGTGAATGATCTAAGGCTAGCTGGCTCGGTATATCAGTTTGCAGTAATGAAACAACACTTCCCACACACACACACACACACACACACACTTTTATTCCATGTTACTGGAAATGCATTTTAAGTGATGATTGGTGTTCTTTTTTTTACAGAATTACTGCATATATTTTTCACGTATTATAACAGTTAACATATGTTTACTTTTTGTGATGGATCAAGATGTAAACACTACAAATAGAATTCCAATTAAGCCCAGCTGGACTTAATTCTATGCAGATAAACACAAGAACAGGGTCTCTATACAAACCTATACTGGATCAGATTGTAAACTCCACTCTTACCAAAATATGGGATTTTTGAACAGCCAGGATTGTCAAGACTAACCTCTAGTGGTTTTGTCAGGAACTCCGTCAATACTTTATTCATAGTAATTTTTTTTTATCTTGTCAGAAGTGACTTGTGAGAGAATTGGCTGTCTGCAGAGATGTTGCCCAGAGGACGCCTGGATGTGTTACCATCCTGTGGGAGACTTCGAGGTAATAAGCTTCCATCCCTAGAACTGCTAGAACATTTTAAACATACCTGGGTTTTTTTACATTTTCTTTTAAAAAGTAAAGGTGTAGGAATTATTTGGCAGAGGACTTCAGATACAATATAAGTGTAATGGCTGTTCACGGAAACATGTTACAAGTATGTTAAGGCAAATTTTTAAAACCCTAGCATTGCCACATGACCACTTTGTGGTCTATGACTGAACATTGTACACTTTGTAGTCTACGATTTAAATATATTGGATTCAAAGCAGGAAAGGTGGGAATGATTTCAGCAATGTGGAGTACATTTAGTTGCATCTATCTGCAATAATAATAATAATAATAATAATAATAATAATAATAATAATAATTTATTTATAACCCACACTATCACCCTGAAGGGACTTAGGCCAGTTTCAGCAATACAGTATTATTAGATTGTTTTGTTTACTATAAAATGTCTATGGAATCTGAAAACACATGGATTTATTCTAGTATGCAGCAAGGTAACTAGTGATCACCTCTAATTCTTGATTATATGAAGAAAGGGTAGGACATCTGTGATTCTCTTGATGATGATAGATTGAAAATCTCGTAATCCTTCACCACTGGTCACTCTGGCTTGAATGAATGAAAATAAGGCCAACATCCACTGGATGACAAAATCTCTACAAGAATGTGGCCTTTACTTCTTGACTTCAAAGTAATATAGAACCACTTTTAAGTATCACGTTCAAGAAAAGAGTTGGAACGATCTTCACAAACTTTATTTCAAGCTCATGGAGCCATTCATGAACTAGACAGAAGCGATCTAAATCCAATTTTGGGTTACAGAATAAAGATGTGGCCTGGTAAGATCATTTTCTAGAAGAAGCTGTAATAAACTTGTGGCAAAATAACAGATGGAAAACCTTAACAACTAGAAGCATTTTGTGTTTATTTCAATGCTACCACTTAGAAGAAGGTAAACATTAAATTGCATGACTTTCCGCAAAATCTTTTAGTAAGGGCCAAAATCCGCTTCCTTTTTCTAAATGCAAAATAGAGAAAACTGCCCAAAATGAAGACCTTATGAGTTTGGTTTCTAACTACAACTTTTTTGAATGACAGGATGCATTACTTCCAGTGGAAAGGGCACCTTTTGATGAGAAACTGTTGCAAGTGAACCACCAAAGAAAGAACAAA